TCCACCATATACATATACACTTGACTCCGACTCGATCGATCAACAAACAGTCAATCAACATGGTGGGCACACATATCCGTAGATCATGTCACATGGGGCGCGCGTACGTACGCGCGCGCGCGCATGCACAGGCACCACAGTTTGGGTTGGGTGAGCCTGCAGCAGCTAGCGAACCCCTGTTGGACAACGCGTACGTACGGGGGAGCTTCTAGTGGTTGCCAGCTAGTATTTCCGTGACGAATCCTAGCAGTAGTGTGTACCACCATAGCGATATGCCGCGTCCCGCCCGGGCGCGCTCCGCCGCTGCACGCACTGTCCGCGCGCGCGTACCGGTCAGCAAAGGGGGGGAAGTGTGCGTACGTACGCCCGCCACGCGCGCACGGCTTTTCCATCGCGCGCGGCCGGGCGCCGTGCATGCGAGTTCCAGAGGCTATCAATGGACGCGAGATGGCGGTGGTTTGCGCGCGCGCGCGCGGTGTGTAATTAGCCGCGGCATGCAGCTGCAGGGTGGGGTGGGCGCATATGCATGTGCGTAGCTAGCGGTGCTCCCCTACAGCCAACTGCTCCCTGCCTGCTAACCATTTACCATCCCCACACACACACACCGCATGCAAACAACCACTTGCATTGCATCGCATTCATCCATCCATCTCTCTCTCTTTATCACCAGTATTCATCTCCTCTTATCTCTCTGGGGCTGGCAGTAGTTGTAGGAGTAGTGGTATAGGAGGGAGAGGAGGCCATGGTCGATCGATGATGATCATGACGTGGTACAGGGGGGGAAGAGGGCAGGCAGTTAAATGGGGAAAGTACTCAGGTCCCCCGGGCGAGTCATTGCACATGCACTTTGTGTCCACTTGATTGAATTCTTCTTGTCTCTTCCCCACCCTCTCCCCCCTCGTGTCCTTGAGATGCGTGCATGCCATCGACATATGCGTACTTGCACAGTGCCTTGTAGACTACTCTGATTCGCCTACATTTTATATATGCATGATCCCGGCCAGTACGTACACGTACATGTAGGCCACCTTGTCTAGCTACCATTATTGTTTACCTCAGGTAAACTAAGCTTTATCCATGTGCAAGCATTGCTATATGTACCCAATGCTTGTACATGTATGTCGAGAAGCTTAATTATACCGGGAGGAGTAGCACGCCTAGTCTTTGTATTGACCTCAAGAGTCAAGATTCTCGCACTTTCATCTCTTCCAAATCTCCCACATGACGAGGTTGATTGCGGAACGTACGTTCTTTTGTTAAGATGCCTCTACTGTGGTTGCTACAGTATTCTTTGATAGATATATATATTTTTTTAGAAAATGAAATAAAACCTAGCATCCGCATCCAAACAGGATGTACACGGCCAATTCTTTGATAGATGTGATGTCCATTTCGTGAGAGTGTGTCGTGATTCCTCCAACCGCGTTCCACACCCTGCTGTGAGTATTTGAAGTAGGGGAAGAAGCAATTGCTTGCTCCTAGAGTGAATCGGAGGAGCAGGAAATTGTCCCTACAATTCACGACCTATATTGTGGATCGCAAGGCGAAGAATTGCACTTGAGTGGTGGGACACATTTGGGCCTGATTGGCTTATTCAAATTGGTAGTTTTCAATATAAAGAATTGTGCATTGGTACCAAAGGTGGAGATGTATTCACCATTTCGCCTTGAGGCATCAGCTTCCACACAATCTTGACCAAATGTATATGTAGTTGTGACTTGTGAGCCACACAATTTGTACATACTCTCTCTCAAAGGCTGTAGAAGTACATTCACCTTGAGGCATCAGCTCACACAATCTTGTTCAAATGCTATGTAGCTGTGAGCTACACAATTTGTACTCTCTCACAGGCTGTAGTACATCTTTAGTGTTGAGTAGACACTGCCTCATCAGTCATCTAGATGTGAAGGATCCAATTCCATGATCTATAGGACATTTTGGATTATCACTTTCTTTCGAGCTAAGATGGCACAAAGGCTTGGAAGGTGTCTCATCGTGGGCATTGTCAATCCAACCATGCGAGTTGTCAGAATTTGCATAATTTTATTAGGTCTAGCAACGCATCTATCAAGTTATAAGAGAAGGGTAAATGGAGCCACTTTGTCCACGTTGAAGGCCTAGAAATCATCGCGGTATCGGAGAAAGAGAAATAAGATCTATGATGTTGATCGTAGTGGGTCTAGATTATAACCATGCAGATGGATAAGTATGATGTATATGAAATTATTGCATTTATATATAGAGATCACAAAACTACATATATTCTGGTCAAAATATTGCAAAAATACATATTTAAGGTGGTGTATTACAATACTACAGATTTAACATCAAATTTATCAAAAAAATAGATTTAAGGGTAAGAATCGCAAAACTAAGTATTTTAGGATTTAAATCCCTACAAATAATGTTATGTTTGAATTATAGCATCCAAGTTTTATGATTAAATTGACACTAGACCTATATTTTCATGATATTTTTTAGTACTAATGCTTTGTTTGGCAATGCTCCATATTCCAGATCCATGCTAAATTTGAAGTTTCTATGTTAAATTACATTAATTTAAAATTTAAAATTTCTTCTCAAATGTGAACAAAACAATTCATCAGAACACTATTAACGTAATCGCAGATCCAGGTCGATCCATGGGTTTGTGGAGCTAGAAATATCCAGCTCTACAAATATCTTGGATTCGGAGTTGTATCAAACAAGTCTTAAATTTGTAGTTGTGCGATATCCTAGCTTAAATATGTAGTTCCGGGATAAATTTGGTGTTTAAGCTGTAGTGTTGTAATACATCATCTTAAATATGTAATTTTGTATTAGTTTGATCAAAATATCTGTTGTTTTGTGAAATTTACTCTTATATATATAATGTGTACAAAATCATTGTATTTATATAAACAGGAGCTATAATTGTATATCAAATACAAAGATACTTTTAGATAAACTTTAATTTATCTCAGTACAAGATTGTGCTGGAATTTTGGCTAGTTAAAAATAAAATTTAATGACCAAAGTTGTACCTGGAGATCATGTTGGTATCCAAAACTTACTGTGACTAGAGAGGGAACAATTTGATAGAATCTCAACTCTGGTTTAAAGAAAAAAAAAAGGGTAATTGGTACTCCAGCTAGCATTCCAATTCATCCCTGAGATTGTATTACTTGAGACAGGTGAAACATTTTTGTTGTGCATAATTTGACTACTGTATAATTTAATATTAATTATATTGGTTTTCTTTGACATGGAGATTTTGTCTTAGTTATGAGAAAATTTAATTAATTGCGCAGATATTTTTGGAACGACAGCTAGCTATTTCAGCACAGAGAGATACTAGCTAGCATTACACAATAAGCTGCTGCAGCTTAAGTGGGAGGCACTGAAATGCTACACGTTAGACCTGATACTCTTTAGCTGGAGGATTCCTCCTGAACGCCGCAAAGAAGGCCACCTGGATAAAAAAGGGCAATGGAGGTGACTCAGTCAAGTTGAGCAAGGAACAAATTCAGTATGCAGCTGCATATATCGGGCAATCTTACGGCCAGGGAAGCAAATGCAAAGTCCACCCCAAAACTGTTGAGGATGCTTTGGGCGTTTGCAGCAGAACTGTAGAAGGAACAGATACTACTACTACAACTACTGAAAAGCTTTGCTCCAGAATGCAAGAGAATGAAAAAGGTACAACGAAGTTAGATGGGGAGCAACAAGGTGAAAGGTTGGTGGATTGTACTTGTAAGGACGGGAAAATCAATCAGCTACCTCAACTGTACCATTGCCATCTTCAGATTAAAATGGCAGAGAATTTCTTCTTAAGAAAAATAGTACTAGTAACCAAATTCCTGCAGGCTTGCAGGTAAGGACGACAGGGCAAAGAGTAAATAAGAGTACATGCATGCATTTTTCTGCACAGATCAGGGGCACAGGGTCGCAGGATGCGCATGGTGTTTAATTAGAACAAATAAATCAGCTCTAGCTAGATCGCAAAATCCTGTACTGGCCATCAGAATTCAGAACTAAGGATCAATGCTAGCTGCCACTCTGAAAAGAGGGGGAGGAAAAGTTATTCTCCTCATTTCTTTCACAGGGACCACCATCAGCTGCTGTGCTCGAGTAGCAGTGAACAATGGAGCGAGAGACAAAGCTATAGGCAGCAGCGAGGAGTGAGCTAGCACTGATACTACTGGGCGTATATGATCAGCTCGCCATTGTCATCGAGCATTTGAGCTGAGCTGAAGCTGAAGCTGAACTTAATTCTCTCCTCTCTCAGTGCTGTTTTGGTATTGAATGTAGGATCAACCGATCGATGCATCAATTAAGCTCGCACAGGCGCAGGGCCCTGACGAACGGACGAACTAACGAGTAACGATGCTTATCCTAGCCTCGCTCCTGTCATTCTGTGCGTGAACTCAATGCAGTACACTTCACCAGTACAGCCATCATTTCTGGGTGCCCCTGGCTGCTGTGCATATCATGTAAATGCTTGCCTAGATTAGCCCCCCTCACTGACGTCCATCCAACGTCGACAGCTTAGCCCATGCACGTATGTAGTAGCCCGTCCTACACCTAGCAGTAGTCACCCCCACAAGCAATCAAAAGTAAAAGTGAAAACAACAGTTCACACAAATTATACTCGATCGTAATAGTAGCACTACTCGCCATGTCCCGACCTCAGATTGATCTTTCCGTCCGTCCATTCGTCCATCCATTCTAATCCGGCAATCGCATCAAGTTCGCCGGATGGTGGTGGTGCAGTTAAATCAGGCGTACTAGTGGTGGTGAATGTTGGCGATAGAGGTAAGGTTTAACTCCACTGGAGCGGGATAGTAGCTAGCCGCTGGACCCGTTGGTTCCGACAGTGGCGAAAAATATGCCATTCCGCGGGGGGCGAAGAGATAGGGGAATTTTCAGACAGCCGCATATATCCCCCGCTTGGGCTGGCGAGAGGCGATCGATCGATCGATCGGGCGAGATATATTCCGTTCCACCCCCCGGCAGACACGCTCTCGTCTCCCTCCCCCACGCACCCACTCGTGCGCGCGCGCGCGTGTATATATATATATAGGCAGAGGAGGCCACACCCTCCAGGGCAACCCAAATCACCAACACCACTACACTACACACACCACTGCGACCTGACCTGAACCTGATCACACACACACACTCTCTCTCTTTCTCTGTGCTCAGTGCTCACCTCTCTGGAAGGAGACCAAAAGGCCAAAGAGAAACACGAGCACCAACCAACACAGCTGAGCCAGAGCCCAGAGCGCTAGAGCCAGCGGGAGATAGCCAGTCAAATGTACTTGTAGCGCTCTCTCGCACAGCCCGGCGACCAATCTCCAGAGGACAGCGAGCGAGCTGCTTCCTTCAAGCTTTGTTTCTTCTCCTCCAAACAGCGCGCGCTTTTTGTGTACTCCCCGAGAGTTGACAGCCGTCGTCGTCGTCACCATGTGCAACTCCGGCACCAGCTCCTCGCCGTCGGCGCCTGCGCCGCCGCCGCCGCCGCTCACCTCGTTCAAGCACTCCTCCCACCTCCTCCGCCTCGTGGACGATGACGCCGACGACGGCCATGCGCTGCTGCTCTCCAAGGTAAAACACGCGGTACATATGCTGTAGTAATACTTACCCGCGGCTTGGTAATTTTGATGGCGTGAACAGAACATGTAGGCCATTATATCAAAGAGCTAATGCAAGAAGCACGCATAGCGACATAGCTGGCTGGCTGGCTGGTTGTTTAATGCTTATTTACTAGTAGCTAGGCATCACTGGCAGTAACAGTAACGAGAAAGAAAAGGAAAGCTCCAGCTGTTGGGAAATGGCAGAGCTGATCAATACGTCCATGCACACGAACAGCTGATCGAGACGACGACGACGTTGCTTTGCTTGTTGGTTTCTAACATGCGTGAGTGCGTGTCTCCCAGGTGGCCGGCGAGGCGCAGGCGATCGGGCGGGTGTCGGTGCCGATGGCGGTGACGGGGCTCGTCATGTACTCGCGGGCGCTCATCTCGATGCTGTTCCTTGGCCGGCTCGGCGAGCTGGCCCTCGCCGGAGGGTCGCTGGCGCTCGGCTTCGCCAACATCACCGGCTACTCGGTGCTCTCCGGGCTGGCGCTCGGGATGGAGCCCATCTGCGGCCAGGCGTTCGGCGCGCGCCGCGGGAAGCTGCTGGCGCTGGCGCTCCACCGCACCGTGCTGCTGCTGCTCGCCGTCGCGCTGCCCATCTCCCTCCTGTGGGTGACGTCCACGGGGTACATACTGAAGCAGCTCGGCCAGGACGAGGGCGTGGCGGACGCGGCGCAGACGTTCGCGGCGTACGCGTCGGCCGACCTGGCGGTGCTCGCCGTGCTGCACCCGCTCCGCGTCTACCTCCGGTCGCAGAACCTGACGCTGCCCATCACCGCCTGCTCGCTCTTCTCCGTGCTGCTGCACGGGCCCATCAACTACCTCCTCGTCGTGCGCCTCCGCATGGGCGTCGCCGGCGTCGCGCTCGCCGTCGCGCTCACCGACCTTAACCTGCTCCTCGCGCTCCTCTGCTTCCTCGCCATCTCCGGGGCCCACAGGGACTCGTGGGTGGGGCCCACCTCCGACTGCCTCCGCGGGTGGCCGGCGCTGCTCCGCCTCGCCGTGCCGACCGCCACCGCGGTGTGCCTCGAGTGGTGGTGGTACGAGCTCATGATCGTGCTGTCGGGCCTCCTGGCCAACCCGCGCGCCACCGTGGCGTCCATGGGCATCCTCATCCAGGCCACGTCGCTCGTCTACGTGTTCCCGTCCTCCCTCGGCCAGGGCGCGTCCACGCGCGTCAGCCACCAGCTCGGCGCGGGCAGGCCCGCGGGGGCGCGCCGCGCGGCCGGCGCCGCCCTCTCCATCGGCCTCGTCGTCGGCGCGGCGGCCGCCACCTTCATGGTGTCGGTCCGCAGCCACTGGGGCCGCATGTTCACGTCGGACGGCGAGATCCTCCGCCTCACGGCCGTGGCGCTCCCCATCGCGGGGCTCTGCGAGCTCGGCAACTGCCCGCAGACGGCCGGGTGCGGCGTCCTCCGCGGCAGCGCCCGCCCGGCCAGCGGCGCGCGCATCAACCTCGCCTCCTTCTACCTGGTCGGCATGCCGGTCGGCGTGGCGCTGGCATTCGGCGCCCGCCTAGGCTTCGCCGGGCTGTGGCTGGGCCTCCTTGCCGCGCAGGCTGCCTGCGCGGTGTGGATGGCGCGCGCCGTGGCCGCCACCGACTGGGACGTCGAGGTGGCGCGTGCCAAGGAGCTGACCAAGGCGTCCACTACAGGCAGCGGCACCAACCACCAGCACGAGTGCAACAACAGCAACACCAACACCGCCAACGCAAAGGCTAACACCAAAACGACAACGTCTCCCGCCGCCAATAACATCAATGCCGGTGGCGGCGGCAGCAGCGACAACCGCGGTTACGTGCCCATCAGCGAGAGCGGCCACAACGACGGCAGCGACGACCTGGAGAAGCTGGAGGAAGGGCTCATGGTGGCCACGAGTGGCGGCTGCTGCGGCTGCGGCGACGCGTTAGGCGTCGACACGAAGGCTGGGGACAAGCAGCAGTGCAGCAACGGTGGTGCCGGTACGGCGGAGGGAAATGCGGGGCAGAGGAGGGGCTCGGCGTCGTCGGAGAGGGCCCCGCTGATCAGTGTGGGGGACGACGAGGAGGCCGGGGAGGAGAACGACGGCGACGGCGGTGGAGGTGGCCACGTCTAGCTAGCTGCTAATCAACCAGCGTGGTCGATCCATCCATCGATTAATTCTGGAGAGGTTTTGATCGTACGTACGTAGGCTATGTTTGACACTGATCGGCCGGTCTCCATTTCATCTTTCTCTCCATCTTGATTTGGGGGTGAGGTTTAGTTTTGTCTGTATAACCAAGCTGAGCAGCTAATTAATGAGAGTATTCAGGAAAAAAAAAGAGGGAGAAAAAAACATATATATTCTTCCCTTATTTTTCTTAATTAATTATACTTCTATGTACAAATACTAATTAGTTTGGGTGTAAATTATAATTAAATCAATTGATGGTGATTAATTAAGAATTGACAAGTGCATGCATGTTGCTGTTTGGCATGATGTGGCAGTACTGTTTGTTGTGTTGAGAGTGGGGGTGTGTGTGGCTTTGGGACCTGTATATATCGCTGTTCCCCTAGTGGTTACATACGTGACAACCAATGGTGGTGCCCCATTTCGGCCATTTCCCAACTGTTCCAACATCGCTAAGAGAAAAAACTCGCATTGGCCCTCCTTTAAGTTTTCTCCGAGATGGCTAGCACAGCTACCTAGCTAGCTACCTTTCTTCCTTTTGATAAAGTCGCAACCATTTGATATCTACAAGCACTTGGGCGAAAAAAAGGCACCCTTGGTGTTTTGCGATTTTTAAATATTACTACTGCATATGCACCTTTTTATTTATTTCTGGCTCCTCGTGCAAAGGAAAGATGGTGCGTGTGACTCAGTTTCTCATGTCTTCTATATTGAGATAAACCTTTTGATCAAAAGGCTCTTGCCACAAATATTAATTTGCCATTGCTCACCACACAAGAAGTGCTCTCTCGAGGGTAAAAGGATCACACTAGCTAGCATGAATTTATACTTTCTGTGCAGATGTAGAAATGTGGAATATAACCCTTATGTGGGAAGAAAGGATCTATATCATAACCAAAATTTGATGATGCTTGCCTTAGTGTCCGTAGCTTATAAGATGAGAGAGAGAGAGAGAGAGAGAGAGAGAGAGAGAGAGAGAGAGAGAGAGAGAGAGAGAGAGAGAGAGAGAGAAACCTAGAGTGCTAGAAATTCTTGAACTTAAACAAATCGTATGGCAAGCTCTTAATTTGGTGAGCCCCGGATTGCGACTAGCATGCAACTGTTGGGGACATCTAAATGTGTTCCAGCCCTGCTCTATCATAAAACAATTATTGTTAAGGTGTTTATTCCTCGGCCCGCTCTTTCTATGAGTGGTTCAAAAACATACTTTTGTTCACAAATAGATGTCATTTGAGGAATATTTTTCCCTAGATATATAGGCCCTCTTATAAGTTGTCGAGACTCGAGACTTGTAATAGAACTAGTGGGCGTGTGGGGCTATTAATTGCAGTTAACAATATTAGTTTGAAAGTGGTAAATTTGTCAAAATAATATGATTTGATTGACGACCGCTTCATATGCCCGAAACTAATATGACGTTCAAGAAGAACGGTGCGAATATTAGATCGCATTTTTCTTAAGACTATAAGCGTACGTGGTCCAACATATCTTTTATCCTTTAGTGTTTTCTTATCTATATTTAACTAGTTGATACCCACACTTTGCTATGAGATATGTGGATAAATGCATGTTATACATTATAGAAATAATAGATATATATATTTAAAGAATGTAAAAAATAATGTGAAGATAATGATTTGACATTATTTGCATATTGAGTTATAAAAATATAGCAAAATCGTGAATGATATGTCATGTTTGCATCATATTTAAAACTCTAGATAATAATTGCTAGTGGTGATAATGTGATACACTTGCATGTTGAGTTTTAGAAGTTAGTGGACATATATATGTCTAGGTTCGTATATAAAAGTTGATTTTTTTTTCAATAACAAAGGGAATGGCCACATAGGAGCGTTAAGGAAACTATTCACTAATTTTGTACTCATATACTAGTATAAGACCCTTGCTGGACTAAAAATCACACATAGCAGTAAAGTTTGCCGTCCAAGGATACCTGCAAAAGCACCATTTGCACATTCATCTCCCTCATTTGCACCTGCTGACCAGAATTCCCTTTTTCAAAAAAAGAAAAGAAAACAAAAGTCCCCTGATGAGACTCCTGCCTACAGTTTTTATCCGAGAAGACTTGGGGTGTTTAGATACAGGGGTGGTTTAGCGTGTCACGTCGGATATTATATATGTGTCGCATGGGGTGTTCGGGTAATAAAAAAACTAATTATATAATCCATTAATAAATTGCGAGATGAATTTATTAAGCCTAATTAATCTATCATTAGTAAATATTTAATGTAGCACCACATTGCGAAATCATGGAGCAATTAGATTTAAAAGATTTGTCTCGTAAATTAGTTGTAATATGTGTAATTAGTTATCTTTTTAGCTTATATTTAATACTTTATACAGGTGTTCAGACGTTCGATGTGACATGGTGTAAACTTTTTAGGAGGGATCTAAATAGGCCTTAAAACAAAAAAAAAAACAATTGGAATACTACCGTGTTTGAGAGTACCATGGATTTCAGTAGCAGCAGCAGTCAATCCACGGACAGGCCAGGAGGCAGGCAGGAGTGCAGGGCAGAGAAGCAGAGTCTGCAGAGAGAAAATAGATTACTCCTACTTGACAAGGCGTTGCCAAAAGACGAATCAGAGGCTGCCCAATCGCCACGCCGATCAGATCAGTTGCGACGAGACGCTTCGGGCACGGCATGGAGAGACAGCCGATCACAAGCGCGACCACCATGCATGTCAATTTTGTCATGCATATGCTTGCGCCGATCCATTAGACCATTTACAGTCCGTTCTCCTCATTCGAGGTGCATCAGAGTATCACGTAGACTAAGGTTATGGGTCTAAAATCTTAATTCTTCACAGTGCAAATGGCTTTAGTTCTAATATTTTTGTTTCAGTTCTAATATTTTTCATAATTTGTGTGGATGTCCAAAATTTACACTGAACACCCTAGAATCTAGAAAAAAAAATAAACCCCTCCTCACCCCTCTCTCTCCTCCTCTCTCCCTACTATGGCAGTTTGGCATCCTCCTTCGGCTACCCCGCCGCCGGTGCCCCTCTCCCCCTCCCCTCCTCTCTCCACCGACGTCGACGCCGGTCCGAGCGTGGTTGGCAAGGGGCAAGCAGCCGGCGAGCTCCAAGCTACGTGGTCGGCGAGCTCCGACCGACAGAGCGGGCTCCGGGTGGCGTGCTCGGCGAGGGGCAAGCGGCCGGTGACCCTGTCTCCTCCCATAGCCGGCGCCCCTCTCCCCCTCCCCTCCTCTCTCCGCTGACGTCGACGCCGGTCCGGGCATGGTCGGCGAGGGACAGGTGGCTGGCGAGCTCCAACTGACACGACAAGCTTTGGGTGGTGTGGTCGGCGAGGGGCAGGCGGCCGGCGACCCTGTCTCTTCCCACGGCCGGCGCTCATCATCTTCTCCCCTGGTCGGCACCCTCTGAGCTCGGCGGCGCGGATCGAACGCCTCGTCAATGGCTAAGAAATCGGCACCGGATCTAGCGGCTCACCAACGGTGTGGTTGAGTGGCCTCAGCGGCGAGCGGGCGGCGGTAGGCAGGCCCTGGTAGCCTCCTCTTCTCCCCCGGTGCTTGTTCTCGCTTCCGACGCCATCTTGTGTTGCTGCTCTCGTTCTCCTTTCCGCTGCTCTTGCACGAGAGAAAGGAGAGCGCGGGAGGGGAAAAGGAGCGCGGCCGCTTGTCGAAGCCACGAGCGGCGAGGCCCTGACCTCCACAACACGGAGCTGCGCCCCTCTCCCGCGCCGCGCGCCCTTGGTCAGGCCGAAGAACGGGTGACCAGTTTTGGCTCCGCGTTCTTCACGGGACAACGCTGGTAGATGATGTGGCGGCAAATATTCTGTTCCTCACGCTCGGGCCGAACGACACGTCCGCGCATTGTGAATGGCCTTATGTCACAGAGTTGCACCAGCTGATTGTGAAAATTCGGTTATTTTTACAATTAAATTTAGCTTGTGTCACCATTGAAAAACATTTTCGATTATATGTACAAACAATCGATAAGAAATCATGCTCATAAAAAATCATGGGTAAATATTTAGGACCATCTGTGAAAATTGTTTTAAAAGGATCATCTATTAAAATAGAGTTATTTTATAGGGATCTCTTTAGAAATCGTCTATAGAAGTCACTATTCTCACACAAACCCCTAAGGGAACATATATTTTCACAAATGGTTCCTTATAATGGATGGCTATGAAAATTGTTTGACTACATTAAAATATGATGGGCCGAATAAGCGGGTAAGTCCTCCCTCCCTTCCCGCAATTCCCTCCTAGCCTTCATGCTTATCGTCCTCCTTTCTACCATCCGGGAGTGGCGGATCGACGATAACTGTGGGGCTCGGGAGCGCATATCGATGGTGGCAGGGCCAAGAAGAGTGGATTCGACATCGATAGATCTAAGTAGCAGTGGATCGATGGCAGCGAGTCTTGGGGCTGCCAAATTTAGCGGCGTCGGCCTCGGGACCACTAGATATAGCGGTGGTGATCCTCAATATGGCTTCATTTCAGTTACAGCAATGATGACCGCAACAGGGTCTAAGACTCGACAATAACATCATGATGATGACCGTAGTAAGGACGTCGTCTCGGCTGTTGCTACCACTTTTGCAAAGGGATTATGAAGAGGGACTTGGGAAATTTGATCATGACCTATGTAGAACTGCGATTCGATGTAGTTTTCATATTTTTTTTTACAAATATATTTGCAAGTAAAGACTACTGTCTATGAGGCAGGTAATTTATCAGAGGCGAGCGAGTCACCCAACCGCCCACCTGTACAAACCAAAATTAGTCACCTGTATACAATGGTAGACTGGTAGTGCTTTCGTAATAGTGTGCTAATCAAACAGGAATACGATGAAACTTGTGTACTAGAATTGTCAGATAAAGCACCCTGATCTTCTTAGATTTCTTTGGTTATCTTTCGCTTTGCATGGTAGTATTATCAAACCCAACCCACTAGATAGGTGGCGAACTGGCCAAGTTTATTTATGTCACCACTCACCGAGCATGGCCCAAAGGCAATATGGGTCCACAAGACAAGTCCTAACACATATATTCATCTGCATATTGTAGAGAAAAAAAATAAATGTGCACTTTGCACATCACTATATATCTTTTCCTTCTTTTATTTTTTCGTAAGTAGATAGCCTAAGTTGACTAAAGTGTTATTTAATAGTATCTTGCCGATAGGACATATGACTTGGTGTCTTGCAGATTGGACTAGTGTCTAATGCATTTATAGGATCATGTCATGGTGTCAACGCTTTAGTGATACTATGTTCATTAT